ATTAGGCATCGTTGTCCGCACTCGCAGAGAATATACCACTTTCGTCACTCGAAATGGCGAGATAACGAAGCTAGAGACGCGTGAGTTTTGCAACCGGTGCAACCGCGTACTGTAACTCTGCAAGACAACGGCTTACAAGCGGAATTGTGTGTGTACATAGCGTTGCCTGGAGCGTCGTAGGACGATCTCCCTGCTTTCGCCGCGAATTGGTTGCACCTAGAGTCCTGCTGATTGGGCTTGTCCTCATGATGAACTTGTCTAAGGCGCCCGCCCCACTGCTAGGAAAGGATCTTCTCAGGATGTTCGAACATTTTTCGCTTCTCTAATGAGTTTTTGATATGCTACTGGTTCATGACTGAGCACATGCTACTTGTAACACCTGATCGAACTGTCTTTAACTCTACTCGTCTTGATAACTGATCGTGCCACCAGCGTATCTGCAGCAGTGAGCGCTGAGGCATCCTACTTCCACAACACTCCCAGCTGCTGAACCATCCTAGTTTTTCATACATCCACTACCCCTGAAGTGACCTACTGCAACTGAAATGCGGTTACAATGAGGGTTGCGCTTCATGTTTTGAGGGCCCGATAATTGAGACATATCAACCGCTCTACGGTTTCGAGCGGTGTAGCGTTCTTCCAACTTGTCGATCTGCACTCTATCAGCTCCTATCACTTATTAGCACTTTAAGTAACCCACTAATAGTATTCCTGTCACGCCCTCTATACCACTTGCTGGAGACGACTTATCACTGTTGCCGTGACCTGTGCTATAAATTTTGTTACCTTCCCTTTCCATCATCAGCCATTATCAATTGCTTTCTGTCACCCACTATCAGTGTCTCTGTAGTTCCTCTGGAGAGGGGGCATCTATGCGGAACGGCATGGGAGGCCGCCTTTGTACGTGCATAAGGCGAAGGAAGGGCCCAGTTGGACGAGTTCTCACTTGCTGATGCCAGCTCCTTCGCCTTATCACATCTCGCTCATCATTAGAAGTGGAAAGAGTCAGTAGCGGAACGGTAACAACTCCAGTAACATTCAAAAATGAACATTGGGCGTTGCATGTGCGGGGCGGCAGTTCCGTTACGAGCGGGCGGCGCACTCCTCTCGTGTTTTTGAGCTGCGAAATGAATGTTGGGCGATGTGGCAGTCAGTGGGCGGGGCGGCGGTTCCTCCACGAGCGGACGGCGCTTTCCCTACCTGCTTTAAAGCTGTGTTGTTGCATCTTCCATCCTTGTACGCAGGTCTACCATATCTAGAGAAAGCTTGAAACATCAATAGCGGGCTTCGCCTTTCACCTAACGTTATATCGTTAATCCCACCACACGGAGGGAAAAATAATTTGTCGAAACTGTAAAAGAACACAGGGTCACAGCGGTGAATCTTTTCAACGCTTGTCTACTGACGGTGCAACATCAACTTTGAAAGCACGATGAAAATACAGTGTCGCGAAAATAAAAAAAAAACGTTGGACTATACTATTTCGCAGGACCAACTCCATATAAGCCTTTTTGATGTGTGGTATCCGCCAGCAGAAGTGGTAAAAAACAGCCCCTTTAAATATCTCATCATAGCTCTGAAGTTCTTCTATTGTAGGACGATGGGTCTTCCATCTACGTCACAAAAAAGGTTGTCGTCAAAGCAAGCATCATAAAAGACGGAGGAAAATTCGAGCAAAACCGATGCAAAAATCTTCGGATATGGGCAAAGGAGAGTGTGTATTCGAATTGGAAACAGCTGAACGAGAAGAAAACTCGGCCAAAGTGGGAGCCTATCAAATTATCAGGATACAGTAACGAAAGAGAAATTGGGAGCACGACGAAAAGGAAATCGCCTTTTCACAGCGGTCATCTACTTTCTTTAGCTTGAGCAGGGAAAATGATACTGCAAAGACAAAGTGTCACGAAATTTATTCATTTTGAAAGCGGTGAGAAAGGCTGCAGGGCTGTCATCTGAGTAGCGAAAAAGTGGTTCTGTTATTCAAAGATTGACATTTCAGTGACCAAATGACGGAGCCCAAGCTTAAACCGTACTTTGTTGTTTTTACCAGTTTGTCTCAAACTTAGAAAAATTACGATAGGGCTGAGAATGCACTTCAGTGGATTGTCCCATGTTGTTAGCAGATGCTGCAGTATCTGACGAAACAACATTTTTCAGACTAACCTTGAATCATTGGGTTACGAAGACATAGATCCTCTCACAAAGAAAAGTGTGCAGCAAAAACTGGTTCAAAAGTATGGTCCCTTTGATCATCCA